GAAGGTGAGGGGGCCTGATACAAGTTGAGTTGCCCTTCCTTGACTGGGTCTCTAGCATAGAGATTCAGTTTACAGGAGAACGACGTGCAAGGACTTACGTGATGAATGTTCTTGCCCAACCTTCCTCTCAACCTGCAGTTTACGAGGTATTCGGGTTGTCCGAATTTAAATCTCCAGAAGCTGCTAGCAGCGCCGCTGTTGTTTCGTCACTGGGCACAAGGCTGCGCATTTCGCAGATAGTTTCTTTTATTTTAATCGTGCGACTTTACTTCTGTTAACTATCGCCTGTTTTTTGATCCTATTGGTAGCTGGTGAGTTGCATTTTTCATTCATGTCTACAGTCTTAACTGAACAGAGTAGAGTTATGCGAGTTTGTTTTTTTCCAAAGCACCCGAAGGCGCGTCATCAGTTGCAAGTTGATCGTCTGCAGACCATCGAATCGCGACTCAACAACCTCTCTCAAACACCTGTCGGATATCTTGATTGGCCAGAACTTCCTATCAAGCTCCAGACCAGTGCTGTGTCGACTCCGTCAAGCGTCCGTGATGCGTGCCCGGTACCGAAAATTTCCTCTGTGAAGGGCCTCCACTCGCGAATCGCCTCTCTTGTAGATAGGTATCAGCGAATCTTGCCCAGCACCGATGACGACGAAGAAAGGCGAGTTGGGGCGATCACCTTGGTGGATTCTTGTGAGACCAAAATTACGGACCTCGAGGCAGCAGCCATCTCGGCCGAGAATTTATTATCCGTCTTGCGACGGTGTATGAACCAGTTTTCCCTTCCATCAGCTGAACAGTCGACGCATGTGAACGTCCTCTTTTTGGACTGTGCTCTCCAGGCTCAGATGAATCTTATGAAGGAGCTGCGAGAAAAGCATGCTGCCGTGCTGTCATGCCTTCAAGAGTTTGAGCGTCCTGACAACTACGACTCCTTGGACCCATCTCTAAAGGTTATGTTTTGTTTTGTTGTTTTCTCTTTCTCCCCCTTTCTTGCTAGAAAAAGCTCATGCAATTCCGTTTTTTCTGCTACACAGGTGTTTCTTGAGGCGAAGATTAGTCAGTTAAAAGGGCGCTTCTTCAGCTCGACCAAGGTGGTGGATGAGTGTTGTTCAGTGG